GATCTGCTTGTGGACAGCAAGCTTGTTTTTGAGGGACAGGGTGGTCTTCCTGTTTATCAGAGAGTAGAGCGACCTGATCAAGATTTTACACTTGGTTAATGTCTTGTCCACATGAGATCAGAATAGCAATTTGCTATCGAGGGTGAGACCAAGCTACTTCACTCGACCGTTCAATGGGAGTGCTGTCAAGATGGACCTTGTCGTTAGCAGGGGGAACTAGCCGAGGTGAATTCGAGTGTGGAAACAGAATGGTTTGTGTTTTAGCTGCATTGATTCAAATCTTCCAGCTCTTGAAATAGTCGGACAGAACATCCAGGCATGATTGTAGTTTACTCGCCAGAGCACGGATCACTCGACTCTTATGATGGAGGTGTTATCGCGAGCATAGACACCCGAGTAGCACATTTCCGTCACAATAAGTTGCAGCAACTTGTTTATGACTTATATAAGTTGTATAGAAGTTGCCACAACCGATTTGTGACAAGCGTGCTACTAGGGCAGGATACCACCACCCGGCAGGGGAGGAACGTCTGACGTGAAAATTTTGGATAGGATAGGCCCAAGCAGGCCACCCTGAGGGACCCCTGCATCAACGTTGAACGTATCAGAGGGGACATTGTTCAAGTAGACCTGGAATGATCTGCCCGAGGTAGATCGGAAAGTTTTATCGATGCAGCTTGTACACTAGACCATCATGCCAGACATTGTCGAACGCCTTCTCGACGTCCAGCAATGCCATGGCAGATGTATTGGAAACGGACTTATTCCGCTTGATGATGTTAGTAACCCGTGCGAGTTGGTGGATGGTAGAGTGGTCTTTCCTAAACCCGAATTGCTCTTTGAGAAAGATCTTATCAACTTTTCGAATAGCTTCGAGGTGGAGGACAAGAGGCTAATAGGCGATAGCTTCTGGCACTGGTCGGATCTTTACCAGACTTGCGTATTAGAATCACTAACTTCCAGCATGCAGGGAAGTAGCCATGCTTCAAACATTTGTTGAAGATAACGGTAAGATGGTTGAAGAAGTCAATACTCAAGTTTTTCAACTCGAGGTTGACTACCTCATCCATACCCGCGGCCTTCATGTTTTTAGTGCTTCTAATAGCTGCTATCACCTCATCAACCGACATTCTACTATCATCGTTCACTACTACGGGGGTGTCAGCGACTCTAGAGATTGCCTCCAGTACGGCAGGCTCATGGGGGCTCACCATGGTTTGTCTAAGATTATGTAAAATCACAAATTTTAGAGCATTGGCCTTTTCAACTGGGGTTATGAGTAGGGATGGGTCCGAGTTCTGGTCAACTGAGGAAAGCGGAGGGATCGGTCTCGACTTATTTTTCAAAATTTTGGTCATCTTCCCAAATGGTTTTGTACAATTTGCAGGTCTTGTTGGCAAAATCGTTATTTCTGAGTTCCACCATCCTGGTCTGGATAACTTTGGTTGGCCTATTGACATTGGTCTTCAAATGGGGCAGCCCAGAACGCTGGAACTGCCTACGAATGGTGTTACGGAGCCTGATAAGATTTCTGGTTGGGCTGTCAAGGTTCAGAGTTTGACTCACCTGTCTGGATGCTGGTACGTGTTGCTCCCTGGCACGGGATATCGCCTCTTCGGTGGTTTGCAGACACTGATCGAATTCTTCGAATGACTCCGGTAGGACGTCGTAGTCGATTTCTGTGTCCACACAGCGCTGATACTGCTGCCAGTTGGCACGATGGTAATTTTGTCGGAATTTACTCGTTTTCTCCCACAAACTTTATGAAATTATCCTCAGAATTCCCTTGGAATTTTCCTCTGATGTACAAGTTTGCTGGTAAGCTAATGATCTGGCACGGAATCTACAGCTGTGGACAAAAGACTCCAATTTTCATCACAACCAATAATATAAACAGACAACTTACATTACAAAAGTATATTGCCGTTCATTAGGTCCCACCGGGGCCCCGTCAAGTTTTGGTCAGATTTGGGGAGTTGCCACTACAGTAAGAATGCGCAACAGTGTACTGGTATCGTGATAATTGAGAAAGGAATGAAGCCTACAAACTGCCCGGATTTCCGCCCAATCGGATTTTATTTGGGGTATCATCAAAGCTAAACTGAAAAAGAGTGGAAAAATGGCTAAGAATGCTATTTCAATGGCCAGAAAATGAAAAAAAAGCAGCCGGTGAGGTTAACCAGCAGCTTGTGCAGAAGTTGTATCAAGCCAAAGTTCGAATTTTCATTCGAGAGGAATAAAAATCGCAAAATCCATATTGTATCTTTAAACTACAATAAATACATAACCTTTTTTTCTAATAACGATTTGTTCTATGTAGGTATGTATGTAAATTGAGAAATGTCACTCATATGCAACATTGCAAGTTTTATCGAGGTTTTGAAGCATTCTGCATTCACAAAACCAAAATTGTTGCTTGGAACAACATTGATCGAAAACGTCATGTGAATAAGACTCATTCGTTTAATCAAAAATTGCAATCATTAACCGGGTTTCTGCCTCGGTCACACAGGGCAGGTCGAAAAACAGGCTAATTAATTTCAATGTTTAACAAACCATCAAACCATCTCCTCTGCAAAAAAACACAGTTTAATAAATTCCGTCACCATCGTGTAAATAATCGTGCATCCCCAAACGGTGACACGTGAGGAGGAGCCATGTCATACTCCTTCTCTAGCAGAAAAAAAGACGTTGATTCGGTGGTGAAGGGGGGAGATCATTAATTAGCGGACGAAGAATCTCGCCTTTCGACCGTCGTCAATACGTGAGGTGATTTACCATCATCTTCGGTGCGGTCCCATCAATTATTGGTCGAGCGTGCACGGAGTGTCGCGCGGCAACGGCGCGGGGTAAACAAATTTGCGATTGGTGAAACCTCCAAACATATTTGCATACAGAGGCGAAACTTCAGACGCTGCCGCACGCGCGCGCGTCTATATATTTACTCACGGATAGAAATTTTTTGGGCGGAGTTGAGCCGCTGCCACAGTCAACAGGAAATTATAATTCGATAATCGTTTCTCTCTTTGCAACCGCTACCGGACTGGTCGGTCGGAGTTGGAGTTTTATTTGGGACTGAAACACCTCCCCAGAAACCCAAAATCCAAAACAACCAAAATCAAGTGGAACCAAATGTTTGATGCCGATCACGGTCTAGCAATTAGCAAGTTGAAAATGACAGTGATTCACGGCGGAACAGGTGGCCTAATTGAATGGCAATTGGTCGGATGATGCTCGGAATGATAATCAAACACAGGATTGACTGGAGTACAAAACCGTAATGAGTCCAACCACTACTCGCTAGATCCGCATCTTCATAGAATAAACCTCGTGGACAGCAACATCTGTCGGTGTGGAAACGGTTACGACGATATCGATCACGCAGTTTGCCAATGTACGGATAATGACGTCGCCTTTCCTATCCTATCCTATGATCCTATTTTCCGACAATGTACCCCTCTAACTTCGGGTAAGCCGCGAGTTTGGGCCCAACTCCTACTAGACATAGAAATAAAAGAATTTTGTTAAAAACAATGAACAATTAATTGTCGGCTCCGTAAAGCTAACATGATTGAGCCTTCCAAATAAACGAACTAGATAAAACAAATTTCCCATCTTAAAAATATCATAGAAGATAGCAAACAATATTGTAGAGGGTCGTTGCATGTGATTTAAGTTTCAAACACTTTTTTGGGTTTCTTACCCAAAATAATACTTGAAATTTTTTACCATGTATATTTTCCCTGAAAGCAATTTGATTTATCAACAACTCTGTCTCAGACGTAATTTCGATTGGAAGTAAAGTTTTCGATTCACTATTTTTTGAAAAATTTGGAATACGCAATTTTGAAGATTTTTACGCTGTTTAAAAGGCCGAATTTGAGTTCAAATGTGAATAATTGACCATAACAAACAATTATGCAAAGTTTCATGCAAATCGGAACCGGTCGCGTCAGATCGATTCGACATTTGGCTCGGAACTGCTCGGTTGCTAAAAATATTCGTTTCTTCGGAAACAAGCGATACCTCACCGACGGCAAACAAAACAAAAGTCACAATGTTTGACGTGGGCAAGCCATTGTAGCATCGGTTTTTTGTATAACTGGGAGTGCATAGAATAGAAGGGTCACAAGTTTTCCCTTCCCACGCGAATCACGGACTACGTCAATGAATTTTTCCTCAGCTTGTTGCTTCGAGCTTATGGGGCACGTCGCCTGCCAACTCGGAAGCTTGTTTGCGAAAATAGAACCAAAGTAGGTGTCGATTGTTTTCGTTCAACCCTTTCGCTTTGAAATGATTCGAATGATGTGAAGCCTACTTTGTTGCGAAACTTTCGGAAACACCTACCTACGCCACTCAGATCTGTCAAAATTGCAATCTTGCAATTTCCGTTTCAAACCAAGCAAATTCCTCTCTCGCACTACATTCACATGGCTATCAAACCTTAATCCCGAGGAAACAAAGAATGCCCTGCCGAGATGACGTCTCGGGAAAGAAATATTTAATGCCTACACGCATCAAAACAAACCGTCAAAACGGTCCATAAAATGGATTCTTTGAAAAGGGACGGATGAAAACAAAAAAACGACCGTTCTAAACCCGATTCAATCCGCCGTGGAAGAAGAACGGAATGTCTTCCACCACCAACCACGTCAGTCTGTGGAGGCGGAGGAAGAAAACATCAGAACTGCTCTCCTGCTCTGACATCCATAAAACTAAATAACTAATTAGGAATTTCGTGGAACCCATCTTCAACCTTCACAGCCGTCGTCGTCGTCGTCGTCGTGGGACGAAGAGAATAAAGTCTCAAACTTTATATGTTCATTCTTGCTCCGCGCTGGCTGTAATGGGATAACGCCGCATCAACAGATTTCGAGAAGCATAAATAAAATGGGATCCCTGGAAATTCCGTTTCCAATCGCAATCTCAGTCAAAATCAAATTTGACGTTCGTGAAGTAATGCCTAATCGTGTTCTTATTTTTTGCTTTTGTTTTTTCAGTGGAGGCACGAACGCATGGTGTCACGGTTCCGGAAACGACTCCACTGCAGTGGCTGTCCGAACACCTCAGCTATCCGGACAATTTCCTGCATCTTTGTGTAATCTACGCTTGAGGTGGCGATGCCTGATCCCGTTTGCTAATTTAGTGGAACTGGACAGTTCGCTAAGAAAAAAAAGGGCGTAAGTGTTCTCTATGCAATGTTTCCATTTCGCTTAGCTTTTGATTTTTGATCAACGGCGAACAATTATTATTCGCTTGCATAAGTATATCCGTAAACAAAGGTACACAGTAAGAATATGTACACCTAAGGAGTGGAGAGGATACTTCGTCGTCTAAATTGTAGCCTGTTCTCTATAACCTATATCTCTGCCCCTAACCTTTGAATTGACTCTAACTACGTAAGTCGATTGACAATGAAGGGATAAATATTGATTATAATACAATTTACGGCGTAATCACTTCGTAGAACGGTAAAGAAATCATCTCAGGCTCCGCTTCAACATGATGACATCATTCGAAATATCCAGATTCACCGGCCGTCTATTGGCTGGGACCGAAAACAACGGAGTTCCTTGTTTATTTGATAAAGGCTAAAATTCGTGATTCAATAAGTTTAAAAAGTCCATTAATGGTTGCTTTACAGTACTTTTATTAAAACTTCAAATTTACAGCATTAGACGGTTACATTTCTCCAGTTCGAACGAAATCTCGAACCGTCCTCTTGATGGAGCCCATCAGCGCCCGCACAGTGAAAACGGACACGGAATCAGCGCATTTCTGGATTTCCTTGACTGCCCCACCGCTTCTTCGAAGTCGCTGCTTTGAAATTGCCCAGTATTTTTCGATTGGTCGAAATTCCGGGATATTCGGAGGATTCATTAGCTTGGGGACGAAATCAATATTGTTGGCAGCCTTGTAGTAGTGGCAGCAGCTGGCCAAATCGGACCAAAAGATGACTTTGCCCCTATGCTTGCGGATGAACGGCAATACACGCTTTTTCAGGCATTATTCGATGTAAACTTGGGACGTCATCGTCGAGGATGTGACGAATGGTTCCGTTTTCAGGCCACAACGGTAAATCGCTTGCCAAATCATGGCCTTCTTCGCGAACTTGTCGGCAAACACGAACTCGAATCTTTCTGGCACATCCCCACGTCCAGTCGCGATGTAAAACTTGACCGGGAAAAATCGAGTTTGACGTATGTTTCGTCATCAATCAAAGTGCAGCCCTTGTGTTTCGTCAAAACACGGTCGTACAAGAGCCTTGCACGCTTTTTGGCCACGAAATTCTGCTTAATGTGCTGGTTTGGATGTTACTGGCTTTGTACGACTTGTATCCTTCCCTGGCAAGGATGTTCCGCACCGTTTGAAAGTTGGTGTTGTACCTTCTGGCCACATCTCGGATTGAAAGACCAGGGTTGGCTTTAACGCACCTCAACACCTTGCTGCGCAGCTGACGATCCCTGGTTCCATTTTTTCTTAGGTCCGGTGATTTCTTTCCACACTCACGATTTTCTTGTATGTTTTAAGCACTCGACAAACTGTTGTTTTCGGCATCTTCAGCACTTTAGCCAGCTTGGAACCGGAGCACTCTGGGTTTTCCAGAGTCGAAAATCTTTGACATTGGTTTGTTTACACTTCTATAGAAAACAACTAGTGCAAGTTAGATCAAAGTAGTCGATCGCGTTCAGAAATAACGTCAAATGGAACTCGCAAGAAGACAAAATATTGTGCACAAATATTTTTTCTTCTTGCGAGTTCCATTTGACGTTTTTTCTGAACGCGATCGACTACTTTGATCTAACTTGCACAACGTAGTGCTAGGCATCCTGGCCGAAAAAGTCTCTGATATTTCGAAGTCTGTGACCGCTACTGGGATAAATACAGTTTTATACACGAATTTCGCAAATAGAAGTCGGATGTTGAATGTTTTCAAGATCCCAGATTTGAATACAAATATCAATATAATGGATGTTTGAAATTTTTTAAGGTTCATGGACTTGAACAAAATATTAATGATTCTGGAAATTCAGGGCATTTTAAAGGGAGTTCTAAAGAGTATTCTTAGAAAGTTCTGACTGGAATTACATTTCAGTGTTGAGGAGAACTTCATGCGCAAGCTGTGGAATGCTTCCAAGGTAATGCTGAGAACTTTTTCTGAGGCGAATTCCTCAGTAGTTTAGAGAAAATTTCAAAGGAGGAGAGCTTCAATTTAATTCTAAGTAGAATTCCAAGGTGAGTAGAAAATTATAAAGATTATTTGAGCATCATAACTAAGCAAATGTGAGAATAATTCCAAGGGAATTCTGAGAGCATTCCAAGTGAATTCTGAGGAGAAGCATGATTCCACGGGAGTAGGCGAATTGCAGGTGAACTTCAAGGAGAATTTAAAAAAATTCTAATGAGCATTATAAGGAGAATTCGATGGAATTTCTGAGGATAAATCCAAGTTAAATTGAAAGTTTATTCACATGGAATTCTGAGAAGATTTCCAAGGGAATTCTTAAGAGAGCCTGAAAGGAATTCCATGGAGTATTCCAATGCAATTCCTATGAGAATTTAATCGAAACTAAACATGGAATTCCATGATAATTTTGAAACATATTTTGAGTAATTCCTGATCAGATTTCATATTATTATAGAAAGATAGATCCCGATTCGTGCCTTCCTCAAAATTGACCTTTGTTCGCTTTTTACTCTCTATATACAGTTTTTACAATGCCGTACTCTAACGGAACTATCAACTCTATACTTTCATTTCCTCATTTATCGTATAAAATGAACACTTTAATGATATTTGTCGTTAAGCATCTCCAACTACAATTTGAGTTGGAATATCCCGAAGATGGATGATTGATAGAAATATTCAAAATGCTGGACATTGCTAATTTAAAATAAATCAAATGTCTAAGGCTTCTGCATTTTAGGGTTCTTGCACTTTGATAATTTTGAAGATACTGAACTCAACAAATTTTCGAAACTCTAGTGCACTGGGAATTTTTGAGAACTGAGATTTAATTTTTTTTTGATGTTTCGAAATTTATACACATTTAAAATTTTCGGCTTGACGAATTGTTGTTCAAGACTCCGAGACTATGAAATGATTTTTCGTAGCAGATTTCTCTTCCTTTGAAATATGATCACTTCATTTGAGATTTTGCCACCTCTATTTTGAAACCTGTTTAAACCCTTGCTCGTAATAACCATTTTTTAGAAACTGCTTAAAATATGTAGCGAAAATCTTCTTCAATCTACAAGTGTCATATGTCTTCAAAAGTATTCACAAAACATGAAATGTCTTCAAAATGTCTACAGAAAATAAAAGTCTTCACGGGATTTCAAATGCCTTCAAAACGATGACAGGTCTTCAAATCTGGCATCACTGACTCAGGGCGATAGTACCAGAGAAGTTCTCAAAACAGACTTGAAGCAACACCCGCTGTGCGGTAGATCAATTTTCATTCATATTAAATCATTTGTGATTATATTTAATTGCATACCCAAATAACATTGCAAGCTTTATAGAGGTTTTATAGTATTCTACAAGCCTAAATCATGGTCTACAGAACCCTCATAAAACCAACATTGTTTCTTGGGTACACACGTTCAGCATGTTTTTGGGCGACATTGGGGCAGATAGCCAAAACAAGTGATGTGCTTGAACGCGTTCATACTTTGTTCAGAATCTATAAACCGAACCGAAAGATGACAGTTTCTCACCCTCCGTTCGTTTCTCATGTTGCGAACGTAACCGAACTATGCGTTGATGGGGTGTTTACGTCTATGTGAATTTAATCGCGCTAGTGTACTCGCCAACTAGCACGAATTTCAGTTGCTCCTGAAATGTCATGCTGGTAGACGCTGATGCCCTGTTTACATTATGCTGGTGAGCGTTTTTGCTAGCATCGAGCTCATTAGCGCTAGTGAACTAGCCTAAAGCTGGGTTTAGACAGGGCAAGTCAATTGATCAAGTCAGTTGAATTCAACTGACTTGAACGCGAATTGAACCATGCCATTCAACTGACTTGATCAACTCACTGAATTTAAAAAAATGAACCAGACTCAACTTTTCAAACCAATTGAATACAACTAAGTTGATCATTTGGCTTGCCTAGTGTAAACACCACATGAACGAGTGCAAACGGACCGCGCGAAACGATCGCTTCGTGTGTACGTAGAAAACGCTTCGTGTAGGTTTTTTCGTAGTCAAAACTTACGAACGGTGCGTGCATGTTTTCGAACGGGGTAGATGTTAGATATTTTCGCAATCATTCTCATCTCCAGTGCTGTGATCATTAGTTGGGTCCTCTTCCATTTCTAATATTCGCCCTTATTCTCGTTTTCGTTCGAATCGTATTTTTCAAACAAAACATTTTTGAAACAAACAAATACGATTCGATCGAAAATGAGAATAAAGCGAACCCCACACGTATCAAGATATTGACGCGGAGGGGAATTATTGACAATTATATTGATGATCTATATTCAGAATTATTGTCAATACCGATGTATTGACGTCAATATAGCATGTATTGTCACGATTATTGTCAATAGTCAATAAAAACAATCGTGTAGGGTTCACTTAAGGGCGATTGCTTGTACCGTCTTCATGAGAGAAACTGCCTTCGTGTAAATCGCCCCGTTATATGTGGTGACAGAGTACAGTTTGTCAATTTCCAGACCAAATCGTGACAAAAGTTTGAATACTTCGTCACGAATGTTTTCCGCAGTTTGAGCTACCTTCATATCAATTAAACCGAGAGTCCTTACCACCATTGATCTTTTTTTCATGTACTGTGTGTTCGCACCTAGGATGCTTCGTCCCTTTCTTGACGCTGAATCCAGCATCAAGCACACGAACTTTTCTTCCAAATCCTTCGTGATTTGGTCTTGGAACCTTTTAGCTACCTCTCCAATTCTTCCGCGAATATTCTTTTAGGTAACGGGATTCGTCTTGAGAACTCCTTCGATTTTTGTCATAATGTCGTGAATCCCTGGTTTTTCGAAGACTAACAATGGAAGTCCACGTTCTGTCACCATTTTGATGCAGGAGATCATGTAGAAGTTATAGTCAATGTGCATACCAACACTCGGCATCTTTTATTCGGCCAGGCATGAATCCACCGCTTCATCATCGGGGTCAATACCAAATTTTGAGAACTTTTCCGGGTGCAGGTCTTTGAGATGTCTTTTAAGATTGCTTTTTGAAGTCGTTTTCAACATCTTGCCGCATAATTTACATTTCGCTGGTGGCGTTTCTAGGCTTTAAAACTGGTTTCAAATCTTGCTGACGTCTTCCTCTGTTAATTTCCGTTTAGACGAAGCGCTTGTGGGACCGCTGTTGCTGAAATTGTTCTTAAAATAATTCATAACTCATAGCTTTAAATCATACACACCTTACCGGAGCAGGAACGAATA